AATTAAAAAAAATGAACACATGAAAAGGACAAATCAAATTTCAGAACAGAAGGGGGATGGAGGAGGGGGAAGGGGGGGAGATAAATGTCTGTGAGCTAATGATATTAGAGGTGATAATTGGGGAAGCTATCTTTGTAATGGGTAAGATAATTAGCACCTTTATTCAAATTTGAGTGTAAAGTGTCGAATTTAAGCATGAATGACAGTTCAGAGGACAACCCTAGGGATGTTAGATATTGTATAATTGAATAGTTGTGAAATTGCATGATAGTGGTTACGTGACTAGTCAATAGTCCCTGGGGGTGGGGCTGGCAGCCAGTGCACTCTGGCACCACCCCCAGGGAGCCTTTATCAGAGGCAGCAACATGGGGTGGCAGGTGGGAGCCAGTCCATGAGGGGAGCCAGTTTAAAAACCAGCTCCCCATGCAAACTGGCTGCCTGCTGCCCTGCACTGCTGCCTCAGACACTGAGGCAACAGCATGGGGTGGTAGCGGCCCCGTCCACCATGGTCTGAGCTCCCTGTGGAAAAAGGCTGGTCTGCGACAGCAGCCTCTGTGTACAGGGAGCTCGGACTCAGACTGCTTCTGCAGATCAGCCGCTGTCTGTGATGGGCCCAGGCTCACCGCAGACAGAGGCTGCTCTGTGAGATGCAGACCAGCCTTTGTCTGTGGTGTACTCAGACCCCCCATAGACAGGGTCTGCTGACGTGGATCAGCCTCTGTCCATGATGAACCTGGGCTGCCATGGACTGAGATTGCTTTGCAGCATCCTCCCGTGCCCCCTTACCCAAGTTGCTGCCTCTGATAGAGGCACCAGCTCCTGTCCTTCCTCCCCCCGCACACACTGCCTCTATAGGATGCCACAAGTTGGGGGCAGGTGAGTCTGCGGGAGCCCCTAAGCACAGGGAGTTGGCTTGAAGCCCAGCTCCCTGTGCGTATTGGCTCCAGCCTGTCCCCCTCAGGCTCTGTGCTGCTGCCTCTCTATCTGGAGTGTCGATCTCCACTTAAGTATAGAAAAGGCCTAGAGCATGAACAAATGGAATGTTGAGTAGATTGGTCGGAATCTGAAAATAAAGAACATAAATAAGAGGTCAATGTGTGTATGTGCCTAGATTTATTTCCGCAAGACACAACTGCTGCAATGCAACTGTCAAAAAAGGTGGTTCAATTTATACCAAAAAAATTCCAGGTTTGCGCAAGGTCACAGAAAATGGATTTCTGTTATGACAGTGAGGAGGAATTTATTGAGACAGACTTCATTTCTGTTCAAGCTAATAAGAGAAAAAATCCCCTCTGATGCTTCCTTTGTCTTATGTAGGTTTCTGCAATGTGAAAACTGGACACTTCATGTTACCTGTATGACAGATAGACTGAATCCTGTCTTACAGTTTGTGCTCATGGGAAAAAGCGTGCTTGAAGTGAATTAAATGGTATTCAGACAATGGCTTGCCGGATCAGGCTCCAAAATGATATCCTATTATCAGAATACCTCTTTAGTGATGAAACTGTGGGTACTGAAATGTTTATCTACTTCATTAATTTCATGCAGTGTTAGGATTTAATAGAAACTGTTCTACGCTTCTCCAGTAGTGCTAGTGATGCACATTCTATCTTTTTGCATATATGAAAGGACTAGGTGGGTGGTAGGCTGACTTTAAACTGAATTTGTTTTTTAGGGTTCTATTGTGCAAAGTTTACTCTGGAGAGTAGCTTCTGTACACATACAAGTGCCCCTATTCCACAAAATCACAGGGACAGTTCCTGTCATGGCTTCATGGCTGCATGTCTATATCGAAAGTACCATATTCTCTAGTAATCTTTACTATTATACTGTACTTGTTCTTGTTAATGAACTCTTGGGGCAGGGGCATATTTAAAACAAACACTACTGCCTTCATTATTCCTTAGTAAAAAGGGATTTTAACGATCTGCTGCTAATACATACTCCCTAACACATGTAGTCCATGGTCTGTGACTCATCACTGATTGCAATGCACTAGAATGCCTAAATCAGAATTCATTAGTCAGAATTAAGTGGAATTCCAGATTATATGCATGATACAGGGTTCACTGAAATTAATGGAGCCTTTAAAATGACTTCAATGAGCTTTAAATCAAATCCTTACCACAAGATATTATGTTGAGCCCATCCCTATTCCTGAAGATGTGTAAACAATGATGTAGGTACCAAGTCTGCAGTTTGGTTAATAATAATGCCATTAGGAAGAGCAGGTGAGCCCTGGCAGTCTCTCTCTCTCTCTCTCTCCCTGCTGTGATTCTTCTATGTTGTTCTGCAGAAGCTGCATAAGAGTAGCTGGGACAGGGGTGGCATGTTTGCAGAAATTTTGGTGGTGCTCAGTGCCTGCACCCTTCCTAAACTCTGTAGTCCCCACTTGCCTAAGGCTCTGAGCGGAAGCGTGGGTGAAGGAGTGATGTGGGCTTGGGCAGGGGATTGGGGTGCAGGACCAGGTGAGGAGTTGGGTTTGGGAGGGAATGTGGGGAGAGGGTCTGGGTGTTGGATGCAAGCTTTAGGCTGGGGCAGGATGTAGGGGTGCAGGAGGAGATGAGGGGTCCAGGCTCTGGGAGGGAGTTTGGGGGCTGGAGAAGGTGCAGGAGGGAGTTTGAGGGTGCGAGGAAGGGATGCAGGGGAAAATCTCTGGGGTGGAGTGCAGTGCTAACATGGGGCACCCTAATCTAGTAGCAGTCCCTAGGCGGGGCTGCGGGAATTTCTGCATGCTGTAGCCTGCATGCACCACCCTTGCAACATCCCATTGGCTTCAGGGGTGTTCAGGGCAGGGGGAGCATGTGGAGACAAGCCCCTAGGAGTCAGAGAGGCACAGGGACATGACAGAGGACACTTGGAGGGCAGGGAGGAGAGTAGGGGAGTATGTGGTGTGGCACTCAGGGCCAGAGGAGAGACAGGGCCATGAACTTGAGTGGAATATTCCTGGTGCCTGGGCACCAAGGGCCTATAGAACTTGCTGCCTATGGATGGGACCGCTCTTGTACCAGCCCATCCCATCCCAGGGATTGTGAGTAGAGCAGTACAGGGCTGCTTACAGTGGCCCTAAACAATGCCTGTGCTGGAGAAATACTCCTCTAACTAGTTTCTGTGCATTAACAGCCTTTATATCCCATCAGAGCAACGTATAGGGACCAAGGTGGGGGTCATAATTTGTCTATAAAAACTTAAAAAAACAACAAATAGACTAGCAGCACCTTGAAGACTAACAAAACGTGGATGGTATTATGAGCTTTTGTAGGCGCAACCCACTTGCTCAGATGCCCACGAAAGCTCATGATATCATCTACTTGTTTTGTTAGTCTTTAAGGTGCTGCAAGACTATTTGTTTTTAAAGTTTTCCTATTGAACTGAAGCTTTTGTCTATAAAAGTCCTTTTCTGGTTGGTAACTTGAATTCAAAAGATGTTCCCATTTGCCCATCTATTAGAAACGGATGCACAGCACGTTTGCAAAGTGCTACCTACTCTGCCCAGGCTGTTTAACTGCCCCCTCACTATTGTCCCTAACACCACCCAAAATTAGCTAGGAGACTGTTGATATGACAACACTCCGGGGTGGAGGCAAAATGCACATGGCTCAGCAGTGAGTCTGTTGGAGCAAAATGCAGGACAATGTAGCACTTTAAAGACTAACAAGATGGTTTATTAGATGATGAGCTTTCGTGGGCCAGACCCACTTCCTCAGATCAAATAGTGGAAGAAAATAGTCACAACCATCTATACCAAAGGATACAATTAAAAAAAAGTGAACACATATGACAAGGACAAATCACATTTCAGAACAGGAGAGGGATACGGGGGGGGGGGGGAGGAAGGAAGGTAAGTGTCTGTGAATTGATGATATTAGAGGCGGGGAGAGTGGGAGGTCTGTGAGCTAATGGGATTAGAGGTGATAATTGGGGAAGCTATCTTGGGAATGGGTAAGATAGTTTGAGTGTTTGTTCATTCCTTCCTGGAGAGTGTCAAATTTTAACATGAATGACAGTTCAGAGGATTCCCTTTCAAGTGCAGATGTAAAAGGTCTTTGTAGCAGAATGCAGGTGGTTAAGTCATTTAGAGAGTGTCCTTTCTGGTTGAAATGGCAAGAAACTGTTTTTTCTTTGTGATCCTGTCTAATATCTGTTTTGTGGGCATTAATCCTTTGGCGAAGTGTCTGAGACGTTTTTCCAATGTACATAGCAGACGGACACTTTCGGCACATGATAGCATAGATTATATTTCTGGATGCGCAGGAATATGTGTTCTAGATCTTATCACTCACTTGGTTAGGTCCAATGATGGTGTCAGCAGAGTGAATATGTGGACAAAGCTGGCAATGGGGTTTGTTGCGAGGGAAGGTACCAGGGTTAGTATTAGTGTGGTATGTCCTGTGGTGGTTGTTAAAATCATCTTGAGGTTAGGTGGCTGTCTACAGGAGACTATGGGTCTGTTGGAGGTACGTGCATAACGACTGGTATAATGTTTGCAAGAGAGCCCGGCCCAGAGGCGCTGGAATGATGCGTACAGAGGGGTGCTGATGAGAGCCACTGACACTGTACATGCGGTAGGTCTGCAGTGCAAACCGCGACCACATTCCCAGCACCCCTGGTTGCGGCGGCACCTGTGCACAGGAGGACACGAGCCCGCGCGCCTCTCCCCAGGCAGGATTCATTGCCAAGCGCGTCCCCTCATTTGCACGGAGTATGGGGGGGGGGGCGGTCACTGCAACGCCGCGCGCGCGCTCCGGATTGGGCAGGCGCACAGCTCCACGCGCCGCCTCCTGGCAGCCAGAGCCCCAGCAGGGCTCAGCCTCACGCGCCCCGATCCCGCCCCCCGCCTGCCTCCCTCGCGCACGCCCCCTCCTCCCCCGCCGCCTTCCAAGCGGGGGCTCCAATGGGGGCCTGGCTTATGGTTGCTACGCAGCCGCGGCCTCCCGGCCAATCAGAAGCTAAACCGGTTGCTACAGTAACAGCGTCATAGAAACAGGTGAGAGCGGGAGAGAAGCTTGGGGGGGAGTGGAACGTGCCCCTCCCACCCCGCAAGCCCAGCTGGTCCCCAGCCCTCCGCGGGCGCAGGCCCAAGCAGGTAACTGGCCCCGGGAGAGCGCCGCCCCCTCGCGCCCCTGCCGGAGGGGGGGGGGGGGCCCCCAAGGGCGG